TTGAGGCCTCCTAATAAATCCCTGCTGTATTCTTTAGCCCTGTCCAGCCTCTGTTCTAGGTCAGCTTTCAAAAGGCATCAAAATAACTGGGATGAATTTTGAAGTCATCCAGTGCAGCAAAGCCCCTTGTTGGGCACCTGGCTCTGCAGGGACAGCCCGGAGCTGCCCCAGGCCAGGCTGTCACAGCCAGGCTGTGCTGCACAGGTGACAGACTCACTCTGTGCCCACCCAGCTCCCCACACAGACCACATGCAACCAGGAGTGAGGAGGGCAGGCTGTGTTTGACGAGCAGACAGACAGACAGACAGACAGACCTGGTTTGCGCTCCCTGCCGGGGATCTGGCCCGCCTGCAGCAGCCCCTTCAGCCGCTCCACCTCCGCCAGGGTGGAGGCGTTGGCGATGGCAGTCTGCAAACAGAGCTCAGTCAGTGCCCACAGCCTGGCAGCTCCCACAGCAGCACACGGCACAGGCTGCCACCAGCTAAGGGACACTCAACACCCAGCAAACTGCCACTGAATTCCGCTTCTAGAAAATTCTACAAATGACAAATCATTACCGCCCCCCTCCCTTGGAAGAACTCTAAGCTCAGGTTGACATTTCATTGAAGTTTTCAAAACACAGATAGGTCAGAAGAAAACTTACAGGAAAAGAATTTAAACCAGAGCCAGGACGTGCTGATCTATTTGTCTGAACAGCACAAAGGAAACTTTTGTTCAATTTGGATCCATGACAGCTTTTCTCATGACATATTTACCTTAATTGCCTCCACGTCCCCTGGGGAAGGCCCAGTTTTCTTTTTGTCTGTTGGCAGGCCAGCCCCTGGATTGAAGCTTCAAAAGGAAAAAAAAAAGACCTGTTACACTTTTTGAAGAGTAGCTGCTTCTCTTAAATTGAAATGCTTCCAAACTAGGTTTGAAAGCATTTCATTCCATCAAGTGTAGTATCTTATCTTTGTTAACAAACTGATACAGTGAAGAATTGCCTCCTTCAGAAACACCAGCATCTTGTCCTCACTGTCCCATTCCCCCCCTTTCATCTGCTCAGAGGCAGAACTTAACTTTATTCATCAGGCAGTTGGCAAAAGCTCTTCAATTTGGATGTTGTTGAACACTCAGCTGCTCTGCTGCCATGACAAAAGCAGGGTGGATAAATAAAGAGTAACAGAAAATGGGGTTTCTGTTCCCATGTGTCAGATGTGGTGTTACAGCAGCCTGAAGTAAAGCCTACATTAAACTGGAATTCATCTCAACAGCCAAAAGAAAAAGGTTATCTGCTGCTGCTGCTTTAAGGAGATCACCTGACCTGAATCCCTTTCCACTCACAAACCTGAGCTCAAATCTATCTGTTATAGGTTTAAATGCTGAATAAGGTCAAGACATTTTTCTGTTTAACCATGAATTTGGAAATGTTGTGATCTGAATTCTTATTACCAAATACGTTGATCAAAACATATGATGTACCACTGAACAATTAAACTAAATAAACATATACTCTAATAGCTTAATTAAAGATTTTCATTTGTATTTCATCTCCTAACTACAGCAGATTTTGCAGTTTATTCCCAGAATAAATATATAATTATTTATTTTGGGAAATAAAACAAAAGAATTTGGCAAAACAAAACCAATCATTTAGGAGAAAAATCCCACCAACCATAAATCAAATAATGGCCACTTCTCTGCAGTTAAATAACAAAAACAAAATTAGGCTTTCCTGCTTGTTGCCCTCAGTGAATCCAACTTGACCAAGTTAACTCTTTCAGAAAAACTCCTGAGATGTATTCACCATCCAAAACTCGGGGTGCTTGCACAAGGCACTTGTGGCTCCCCAAGCTTTTGAGGCATCCTGGCAGCAGCTGCTATTTCAGTTTTCTGCCTGACACTGCACACAAAGGAAGTGGTGTTTCTGAAGGAGGCTGCCAGTGGAAATTTGTTTGTTTTATCTTACGTTTTTGCTCTCCTGGCAATATCCTTTGCAAGCTGTGCACCCCGTTTGCCCTTGAACATTTTCTCTGCCTCCTGTCGCTCCTACAGCGATACCACACACACACACAAAGTTAATTTGAGAACATCACAGTCTGCAAAGCTTCTGTCTTGGCCAAGAAAGACACTTTGGCTCATCCTCATCAGTGAAATTGGTACATGGAGACCAGATGTAAGAACAAGCAGATAAACATTGCCCAAATATTCAGAGAATTATCAACTTTGTGCTCTTAAAATTAAAGAGCTCTTTCCCACACTCATCCCCCACCCAGTGGTGTTTGCTCATTTCTTTCTCCAGAGCTGTCTCCTACCAACACCAGAGGGACAGCAAAGAGTAACACTCAACAAAGGCACTCAAACTTAATTAGACATAATTAAACAGATTATAGCCTTAACAGAATGAATCCATGAAAGAAAACAATGAGAGCATTGTAGAGCCACTTACAGTTTCAATAAAATTTACAACTGTGGCAACGAGGTCGCTGTTAGTGGTGAATTTTCAAGAATGCAAAAAAAACCCAAAAAATCAAAACTACTAATACAAAACAAAAACAAAACACCCCAAACCAAACAAACAAAAACCAAACAAAACCCAAAGCTAACCAACCAAACAAATAAAAAACCTACCCCCCCAAAAAAAAAAAAAAACCAAAAAAAAGCCCAATTAAAAAAAAAAAATTAAAAAATCCCAAACACCTAAATCAAAAGCAAGCAGACTTACTTTGAGCTTCACTTTTTGAAAATCCAGCACTCTGACCTGGGGAACTTTATGAATTAGATATAATCTGTAATGTTTCTTATTTGTTACAGGATTCCTTAGAACGCTGTGAAGGAAATAAAGGTTATAAAGAAGCTCTTAATACAAAATATTTTAAAATACACTTGTATTGAAATATATGAATACACTTGTATTGAAATATATTAATATACTTGTATTGAAATATATGAATATACTTGAAATGCATCATGTACTTCCTGCTGTAACAGGTAACAAATAACACCATGAAATAAGCCTAGTGACAGTGCTTTGATATTATGGAAACTATAATAAAAACTTGCACTTTAGCAATTCAGTAGATTTAACTGAAGGATGACATAAAGAACAACCTCAAAATAATCATAATACTCCCCCAAAAAAGTAACTGAAACATCACTTTTCTCTCTGATCAACTGAAAAATCACAGGACAAACTGTGTTTCTTTCTGTTCCTCACACCAAATGTAACATTACTGAAGAGTCCTTGTTTAAATGTATTTTAAACTATTTTTTATCAACAGATTAAACCTTTTGGTTTTAGGTTTTTGAAGGATAAGCTCACTTCAGCACTTGTGTACTGGTTTATAGAGCTGTTAGATCTCATTTTCCCAACAGTGATATAAAACCTCAGACATTGATTACCAGATGCTCATGAGGAGTAGAGCAAACACTGTTTAATTCAGTTTTTAGACATAAAGGATCTGTCACAGCTCATAGAAAGCAGAGCATTCCAGACCAAAGCCAAGGGCCAGGGCAGCAGCAGAGCTCAAACACCAGAGAAAGAGCAGCTTTTCTTTTTGGGGTTACATACCTCAGGTAAGTCAAAGATTTAATACTTGATAACGGATCCAGTTCACCCTGGGTAAAGGGAGCACAGCAAGAAATTTTAAACCTCTTTAGCAAAAAAATCAAATATTTGAAAACAAAGTTCCTGAACTCATATCTATTTTAGGGATTAATTAAATTACTGCAATTATTTTAATAGGAAAACCACTAAGCTTTGTGACTGCTGTTGCAAATCATGTCCATTAAAGGATGTACACAATTAACTACTGCCAAAACTGTAGGATATTACTCTAAAGGGAAAGAACCAACTATTACCAAAAGGATATGGCACTACTCTCAGGAAAATGGTTAATTACAGGGATGAAAACCACAAATTTTCAGCTTGTTTAGCTTCATCCTGCATGGCAGCTTACCAGTTCAGCAATGTTGTTGTTGGTGAGAATGAGCTCTGTGAGGCTGGGCAGAGCCTGCTCCAGGTTCTCCCCAATCCGACTGAGGAACAACAAAAACAAAGGGTTCATTTAGGGCAGGAATTGGCAATGCTGGAAATACACAGAGAAACAAAGTAACACAGAGGATCTCCCTGTGAAAACCCAGTGTGACACTGGCAGAATCTGGGTGAGCATACGAAACACTTTTCTAATAAAGCTGGCAATAAATCACTGCAAATATTAGGTGCAATATGATACTTAAATCTTATAATCTATTATGATCTATTCCCTTGCAGGTATTCATTTTTTCATGTTTTTATGGAGCTGATTACTGAAATCCAAAGATGTGGCCAGTCCCAAACTCTGCATCTCCCTGTCCTGGCAGAGAAACAAACACTGAATCAGGAAGGAAACTGAGAGAGCCCACACAGTGCTCAGTGTTGATTTCACTGCCTGAAACAAACACCCCTGCCCCTGCCCAGCACTGAAAGGCACACACCCCTCTCTCCCCAGAGCATTTTCCTCTGCCCACGAGGCCAAGCAGAGCCCTCACCAAATCCTGTTGTTGTTCATCAGGAGCGTTTTCAGCCTCCGCAGCAGCGGGAACCCGTCCAGCTTGCGGATCTCGTTGTCAGAGAAATCGATGGCATCAAACTGGTCCAGAGTGGCCCCCAGGTTCTCAATGACTGGGATTTTATAGCCTGGGGAGAGAGTGCAGGGCAGGGATTAGATGTGCCCACAGAGCAGAGCAGAACAGAGTGTGTGGGGGCTCTGTTCTGGACTGGGGATGCTGATACGGCTCAGACAAAACACCCTGGGATCCACTTTGCTCCACACCCAGACCAAACTCTCCCCTTCAAACCCAACAGCTCTCACGGCTTTTGGAATCCTCCTTCCTCCCTCCCCCTCAGCAAAACACCAGCTCCCTGCCGGGACGTGTTCTCCAAACCAAACCAACCTTTCTAGCACATCCCCCGTGCTGAGGCACATCCACCCCCACACCACAGCACATTCCTCCCACATTTCCCCCAGTTTCCCCTTCTTGGTGGTTGGCACGAGATGATCTTTAGGTTCCTTCCATCCTAAACCGTTCTACCACTCTGTGATTCACCCCTCACATCCCCCGCAGGTTCCGAAGCCACAGGAGTCTCTTCAATCGTTCTTCATCCCCAGCCCCCGGTCACTGCAGCCCCTCCAACAACCTCCCGGTCCTGCCTGGGCACCTCCGGTCACTGCAGGCGCCGGGGCCCATTGGGA